CTGGGTGATAGTTGTTGGGATCCTCGTTTTTCCCCTTTTTGAAGATGGGGACAATGTTTGCCCTCCTCCAGTCTGCTGGGACTTCTCCTGTTCTCCAGGGGTTCTCAAAGATTATTGCCAGTGGCTATGAGATTACATTTTCCAGTTCTTTTAATATCCTTGGATGTAGTTCATCTGGTCCTGGAGACTTAAATTCATTTAGGTTAACCAGGTATTCTTGTACTTCCTTTTTACTTATTTTGTGCTGCATTTCCCCTATTGTATCTTCTGCTCCATTTTCCTCAGGTTGAACACCCTTTTCTTTTTGTGAGAAGACTGAGGTAAAGAAGGCTTTGAGTAGTTCTGCCTTTTCTCTGTCCCCTATTAGAATTTCTCCATCTTCTCTGTACAGTGGCCCTAGCATTTCCTTCTTCTTTCTTTTGCTATGGACATACTCAAAAAAGTATGCTAGAGGGGTCCTTAACCCCTCTAGTAAACCTGAGCTCATTCTGTTCTTTGACTTTCCTGACTTTACCCCTACATGTGCTATTTGTTTGAGTTCCTCTTCAGTGATTTCACCCCTTTTCCATTTCTTATACATCTGCCATTTAAAAATTAGTTCAGTTGAAAGTTCTTTTGTCATCCAACCCAGTTTCTTGAGACACCTCCCGTTTTTCCTTCTCATTAGAACAGTTTGAGATTGTTCCTTCAGTATCTCCCTTTTGAGAAACTCCCATCCATCCTGAACTCCCTTCTCCTTTAATATTCCTAACCATGGGATCACTCCCAGTGTTTTCCTAAGTCTGTTGAAATCAGCTCTCCTAAAGTATAGAATGAGCGTTTGACTATGTCTAGCTTCTCCTTTCCACTGTATAAGAAACTCCAGGAGAACATGATCACTCCCACCTAAGGTTCCCACCACTTGCACCCCATTTACTGGGTCATCCCTATTGGTTAGGATCAGTTCTAAAATAGCTGATCCCCTTGTTGCCTCTTCCACCTTTTGGACAAAGAAATTGTCTTCTAGGCAAGTGAGGAATTTGCTAGACCTTGAAGTATTGGCTGAGTTTGACTTCCAGCAAATATCAGGATAGTTGAAGTCACCCATCACTACTATATTTCTCCTTTCTGAGTGTGTGGTCATCTGTTCTAGAAAGGCATCATCCAATTCCTCAGTCTGACTTGGGAGTCTGCAGTAGATTCCCACAATAACATCCCTGTTGTTTCTTTCCCCTTTCATTTTTATCCAGATGTTCTCCAACTGATTTCCAGGATTTAAGTCCTGGATCTCTTCACAGATGTAAACATC